CTAGACCTAATCATAGTAAAACAAACACCTACGATTAATATCGATTCCCAAAAAGCTCATAATTTAGACTAGCATCTTGCCTTGCAAAAACTATATTATCGTCCTGAAGGTCTGTATCAAAATGTTAAGGGATTGTGGGATGCATGTAAAAAAGCCAGCTATAGCTTTCCATTTATTGATGTAAAAAAATGGCTTGAGGGCTAAGCAATGTATCAAATTTTTCGTCCTTCATCAAAGCATATACCTTATGCCAGTTACTCTAAAATCACAAAGCCAAATACTGTGCACTAATGTGATTTAATCGAAATACCATATGATGAATATGTGGATATAAATTTACTAGATGATGTTCCAATATATTACTATGTACTATTGGTTATAGACTGCATGACTAGATATAAAGATTTCGTTTTTTTAATATCAAAGAGCAGTGAGGAAGTTGCGGAAGCATTTAAGAGTATATATGATAATTCTGATAAGCCTCTCAACTGGCCTCAAAAACTACAATGTGATAAAAGTACAGAGTTTATGGGATATGTGACTTTATTAATGGACGAACATAGTGTTGAAATCCGAAGAATTATAGCACGTTTTAGACATACAAGCTTTGCTATGGTTGATCATTATGCCGGATTATTCGAATATAGAGTTTTTAAAAATCAGTATTCGGTAGAGTTTCTTCTGCCTACTGGTGAACGCTGTAGAGAATATGAACGATTTGCAAGAAGAATTGTTAATAACATGAATGATACTCCAACCCGGCTAATTGGAATGAGTCCTAATGATGCCACAAAACTTAAGCAGATATATTCCAAAATATCGGTAAAATATAATCGTCCAATAGGTATTGATGAACCACAGCATCAGGAAATTATATAGTGCAAAAAGTTGCGCAAGTTTACACATCATAATATTTCGTAAGCTTCCAGACCCGCCGCAAGTTTGCGTAAGCGTAATATTTTGTAACTTTTTAAAATATTTCGAAATATTACGATATGCAAAGCTTCGTAATTTTACGATTTGTAATATTCCGTAATTTTGC